GAGAAGCTTTGCTGTTTCTGTGCTAAGACAAGCCATGGTGTTAGGGGCCTCCATTGCTCCTCTGCTGGTGGCTGTGGGCAGATACAGCCCAGCTCTCGCCTTCCTTATATTCGGGGCGCTGTCCATTTTCAGTGGATTGATGATTTTGTGGCTGCCGGAGACCAGAAACTCCCCTTTGTATGAGACGCTGGAGCAACAAGAACAAGAGGGACAGCTCAATTCTGCTCCAAATCACTTGGAAACTGAGCTCAGCAAATGAATCTCACCTCTATGTAAAACAGCGGCCGATTTAAGGTGGGGGCACCGGAGGCACGGCTTCACTGCCCTCTTAAATTCCTATAGTACCCATAGAATTTTGATATAATTTCAATAGTGTTTCGGAGTTTTCTTACGAAGGAAGTGAAAGAATTACGTGATTCTCTAAGTTGGTTTATGAATTAATATTCTAAAAGGATACGTGGAACACAAAATTTCATTTAAAATAAGCTAAAAAAAGGTTTTTCATTTCAATTTGTTGGTGAATATTTTTTACTTAAAAAACTAGAAAAAAAAAAGTAGGCAAAAAAATTTTGGGTTAATTTTGTCTCCACTGAAAATTTTTTCTGGCTCCGCCACTGATGTAATGCTCTTTCATTGCAACTTTGACATATACCCCAACCTAAAGTGCTTAATGACACAAAATATTACCATGAACAATTCTCTAAATTCAGACAACTTCCTTAAATTACCTTAATCTGTGGTTCACAATTTTATAAGTTCTTAACCCTGTTAAATTTTGCTTTAAAAAAAAAAAAAGATGTTTTGCACTTCTATACATGTAGGTTCACCATTTTCCCTTTACTATGGGTTCACCTTCATATCATCATTATAGAAGTTTTTTAGGTCACAAACTGGCAATAAACAACACAGTCAAATGTAGTATAGGGTAATTTTTTTTAAAAATCTTTTTCTTAAAAAATAGAAAACATGATTTTTAAAATCTTTCTTGTCATCTTTCACAGCAGCAGGACTTTTCCTTTGAAGGCGCCAAAATGAATAAAAGCGCTACCATCTAACGGCTCTTTTCACCATGGCTGTGTGTTTTAGCAGTAGTATTAATCAAGCCAGAAAGTTACTCCAAACCCACATAACTTCTTCCTCCTCTCCATTAGATTTATCAAAAGCCGCCTCAACAATCCAAACTGTTGTTAACGACGTCGTAATAGATGCCCAGAGAATTAAAACTGGTTTCGACCGGGCTGCATGTCGCTCTAATTATCAGCTTGAAAGACTAGTTAACAAAAGCAGAGTATCCGAAGCCCGCCAATTGTTCGACCACATGCCTAACAAAAATACATACTCAATTAACACGATGCTTTCGGGTTACGTGAAATCTGGAAACTTGAACAGTGCAATGCAGTTATTTGATAATATGGTAGATCGGACTGCTGTGTCTTGGACTATAATGATAGGGGCGTACTCGCAGAAAAACCAGTTTAAATCTGCTTTTCGCCTTTATGCGGATATGTGCAATGTAGGCACAGAGAGGCCTGATCAAGTGACTTTTACAACTTTGTTATCAGGTTGTTCTGATGACTCTGAGGCCCTGAAAGAGGTGGTTCAGGTTCATGGACATGTAATAAAGATGGGATTTGATTCAGAACTAAGAGTTGGCAACAGTTTAGTGGATTCTTATTGCAAGTGTCGTTGCCTTGACTCTGCATTATTTCTGTTCAGTGGGATGTTGGAGAGAGATTCCGTGACTTTCAATGCAATGGTAACTGGGTACACAAAATGCGGGATGAATGACTATGCGATAAAGCTCTTCTTCCAAATGCGGGATTTGGGCTTGAAGCCTTCAGATTTCACCCTTGCGGCTGTTTTGTGTGCCAGTGTAGGGTTGGATGGTGTTGCTCTTGGTCAACAAGTTCATGTGCTAGCCATTAAGAGCAACTTAGTTCGGGATGTTTTCGTTGCCAATGCATTGCTGGATTTTTACTCCAAGCATGATTGTACAGATGATGTTGAGAAATTGTTTTATGAGATGCCTGAGTTGGATGGTGTTTCTTACAACATACTTATCACGGGGTATGCAAATGATCAACAATACAAAGAATCAATCAATCTATTCCAAAAATTACAGTTCACGAGGTTTGATAGAAGGCAATTTCCTTTTGCAACAATGTTAAGTGTGGCAGCATATTCACTCGACCTGGAAATGGGAAAGCAAATTCATGCACAGACCTTAGTTACAACGGCAATCTCAGAAACTTTAGTGGGCAATGCCCTTGTTGACATGTATGCGAAATGTGATAGATTTCAGGATGCCAATATTTTGTTTGGAAATCTGGCTTGCAGAAGCCACGTTCCTTGGACAGCTATCATCTCAGCTAATGTTCAGAAAGGATTATATGAAGAAGCCCTTAAGCTGTTCAAAGACATGCGTAGAGATAGTTTTTGTGGTGACCAGGCAACTTTTGCAAGCACGTTAAGAGCCTCTGCAAATTTGGCTTCACTTTCACTTGGGAACCAATTACATACATGCATAACTAGGTTGGGGTTCATGTCAAATGTCTTCTGTGGCAGTGGACTTCTTGATACGTATGCCAAATGCGGATCCATGAAAGATGCAATTCGGATATTTCGAGAGATGCCTGTGAGGAACACAGTCTCCTGGAATGCTTTGATCTCGGCTCATGCTCAGAATGGGGATGGTGAAGGGACTTTTAGGTCCTTCAGGGAAATGATTCAATGCGGTTTTCCACCCAACTCAGTCAGCTTTCTCAGTGTCTTGACAGCTTGCAGCCACAGTGGACTTGTTGAGGAAGCGTTGAGGTATTTCAACTCCATGACAGAAACCTACAATCTTGTGCCAAGAAAAGAACACTACGCATCTCTGGTTCACGTCTTGTGTAGAAGAGGAAGGTTTAGTGAAGCAGAGAAAGTTATTGCTGACATGCCATTTGAGCCAGATGAGATCACATGGTCATCAATTCTAAACTCATGCAGGATCCATAAGAATAAAGACCTCGCAGAAAGGGCTGCTAAACAACTCTTCAATTTAAGCATTCTTAGAGATGGTGGTGCCTATGTCTCAATGTCCAACATCTATGCGGAAGCAGGAGATTGGGAAAATGTAGCCACTGTAAAGAAGGCTATGAGGCAACGAGGAGTAAAGAAAGTGACTGCGTATAGCTGGGTTGAAATTGAGCACAAAGTTCACATGTTCACTGCAAATGACATGATTCATCCAAAAATTAAAGGGATTCGGGAAAAGATCGATGAATTGTGGAAGCGAATGGAAGAGGAAGGTTATAAACCAGACACAAGTGTTGCACTTCATGATGAGGCCGATGAAATCAAAATAGAATCCCTTAAATACCACAGTGAAAGGTTAGCAATAGCCTTTGCATTAATAAGTACACCACAAGGATTACCAATAGTGATAATGAAGAATTTGCGAGCATGCCCGGATTGTCATGCTGCAATCAAGGTAATCTCAAAGATTGTTGGGCGGGAAATTACTGTCAGAGATTCAAACAGGTTTCACCATTTCAGGGATGGCTCTTGTTCATGTGGTGATTACTGGTAAACTGGTTGATTATCACCAACAAACCTCATCATATAGGCATTAAGCTCCAAAATTTGTGTGGTGGGAGTCACCCTTCAATTAATTGACTAAATTCTTCTGTCAGCTCTAATGTGTTTTTGGCTCCTAATCCAATTTTGGAAATTGAATGCACAAACAATTACTATTCAAGTTGGAGCATTAAACAGGAAAATCAAGTAGCTACTAGTCTTCAATTCATTAACATTGTATGGAGGTACATAAAAAAAAAAAAAAAATACAAGAAAAAAAGAAACCCAAAATATAATCAAGTAGGAGCTAGGGTTTAAATGTTGTAGTAATAATTCAACTATTTACAGTAACGGTCAGCTTTTTTCTTGACGCGGTCATCAAGGGCTTCTTCAACGGATTTGGATTTAGCAGTCGGGTCGTACCGGAACTTCTGAGCTTCAACTGGGAACAATTCATCGTACTTCATCTTCTTCGCCGCGTCGATGGTGTAAATCTCTCCCGCACCCGAACCCGAACCCGTAGCTGACGGGTCGTTGATTTGATTAGGATCCTCGGCCAGGACGTCGTCGTTCGAGGACTTGTTCTTCTTCTTCTTTTTCTTCTTCTTATCTATATCCTTGCTTCGCGAGGCGAGAACTCCTCCCTTGAATGTTAGCCTCCCTCCTTTCACTCTCTCGTATGCGTCCGACATCTCTCTCTCTCTCTCTCTCTATCTCTTTCTCTCTCACACAGTCACACAATGGGTCTGGGATTGCGAAGCAATTGATTCGCTACCGGAACGGCGTTTATAGAGGAGATAGTTAGCCGTCGAATGTACATCCCCGCTCCAAAAGTTGTACTCCAAGAAAGGTTTATACGTGCCGTTTCTAAAGAGAATTTTCCTGTTCCTTCTTGCGTTCTAGTTGGGATAAATTGTTACAGTAGTCCTTGACATACTGTATAATCTGAATTTGGTTCCCTATAAAACAATGTTAAGTTTTTAACTTTTGGTCCCAAATTGGGTTTCTCACAATTTTTTCCTCACCAAATAAAAATTGAGTAAATCTTATATACACTGACATTGTATGCACTATTACCATTTAATTCATGATATGTGTGTAAAAATTAAAATTTAAATTTAAATTTTACATAATTAATCCAACGCTAATAATATATACACTGTTAATGTAGGAAAGATTAATCCATAAAAATTTGGGTTTTCTTTTTGGGGGAGTTGTAGGGCACTAACCACTATTTTATCTTCTTGCCTGTAAGTTACAAACCAAAATTGCATCTACTAGAAGGATGGATGTATAGCATATACAAACATCTTCTAGCCTGTATTTCAACCCAAAAGGAAAAAAAAATTGAAGATAAAAGCATGGCTTCAATGTTTAATTATGTTTCCTTGAGAGTAACATGCTTGGAAGAGACCCATGGAAAATATTATCCATGCATATGATACAAAAGTACTTGATAGGTATGGATGCTTGATAACATATCATACAACTTCCACAGTTTCCATACAGGCTACAAGAAAATTCAAACAGGCTATAAGGCTTGAGTTGGCATTAACATTCCACCATTGAACTCAAGTGGCCTGAACTATTCTAAGACACTAGACTGGTCAAAAGAATATAATCCATCTCTTCAACTTATTTGAATGCAATTTTTAGAATAGTTAGATATCCATGGTGATCACCACATTGGATTTTCAGACAAGGTAAAACTTTCATTATTCAGTGACTGGAGTACTTGTTTACATCCAAGCTAAACTCATTTTCATAGCTCAAAGCCAGAAAAACAAAATTCTAATCATTTACAAGAACAGGTGGTTGAGAACAAAAGCGCTGGTATTGGAATTTTTTTGTACAAAATGCCATGCTGTGGGTCTTCTAATCAACCAACACCTCTCTCACTCTGCCAGACGTGATTTTGTACTCCAGAACAAATTTCCACAATAAAAAACGGTTGGTATTGCATCGCTGAAGAAGTACCAAGTTGAAAATTTCTGTGAGCTAGAGGGTGATCAAGTCTTCATCTTCTGTCTAACTCCACTTCTCGATAATGATGCCATTTTTGGTATCTTTGATGCCCAGGCAGTACTGGTCTAAGTCTAGCGGCAGATGTGCATTTCAAACAGCAGCATCCTCTTAACTGGTTCACACAGGCCGTGCAGCATCTGAAACACCAAGTGCAGTTTGGTAAACAGCTAATGACATATATGCAGGCAGATACAACAAACTTCGGGTTTGAAGAAAAGCACCTAAGAACAACACTATGCAGATGCATGAAATTCTTCTGATAAGCTGGAATCATGCTAAAGTCTATAACATATGTTCTTCTTCTCCTCAGACCTATCAGCATTCAGGACAATTACCTCACCCCACTTTGGTTATCACATTGTAAGATGATTTGACAATGGATTTTTCAGTTTGCATGCTGAGAATGATCCATTGGATTTCCGCTTCCCAATACTGTAAACTAACTCTAGATTCAATGCCTGTACAATGTGTATTTTTAATTCAACTTGCACCTTCATTCACCTATCTTGAACCAATTGTAAAAGAAATTTTACTTGCACTTGATGAAGAACAATTATTGCATCAACAAAAGACACCAATTCATCAAATGACAATACATTAAAAGGTAAGCTTGCAAACATATTTTACAAAATAAAGTATTTATGGACACCTTTTAACCACGCTGATCATTAACAGAAAAGGTTCATCAAACAAATCTTTCTAATTCTGAATTTGTCAAGAGATAAAAAATTATCATGATTCTTTAGATTATCCTTGAGCAATGAAGAAATGGAACTTACAGGAAAAGGAGGTTACAATCAAGGTTTGCACAATTACGATGTCTCAATTCCGACACTTTTGAACCACATATATAGCATTTGGCAAATGAGTTATCCAGGAAAGCTTGTGTTTTGCAAGCTTCAGTTTTAACTTCAGGCTTGAATACAGGAGGAGGAAGAGCAAGACGAGCATCAAAAACAAAGAGATTTCCAACCCATCCAGCAGAACCTTCACTCTTGAGATAATGAGAAATCCCTCCCATCAATGTATATAATCTTTTGAAACCTCGTCCTCTGCGAAATAAATAAAAGACCTCTAAGTTCGTCAAATGATTTTCATAGTCTGCTCTCAACAGCCTAAGCTTTTAGAGAAGTAATAATTCGACAAGGTATCCTTAAGCTAATGATCTATTCAATCCTCCATGTGAAGGGCAAAGAGTGGGCATGTGTGGCCCACATTTTACTTAATATAACTACAGAGACAAAAGCGGAATACCAATAACACAATTCGATTCTATTATTTCCAAAAACTAAAAAACTTGAATTTTCTTCTCTTCCTAATCTCATTAGTTATATGTGGAATAAGTAATTACTTGTGAAGCAGAGAAGATATGGGCACATGGCACATAATCATCATTATGTAAGTGGAGAGTGGTAGGAAAAACATTCTTAATATGATGTTCCCCTACAATATTGACCTGTAAAACTCGTGATGACTATTGTTCTTTGCTCTCTTCTAAGTTAGACTAAATCTTTGCTCCCTTCTTAGTTCTTATTTATTTTAAGTATCATCTCATTCACATTGGACCTTTAGGAACATTTCTGTATGTTACACATGATTTTTGATGGTTTGGGTCCGCTTATACAGGTAACTATACAATTTAACAAAGAAATAAACAATAGATTCCTCATTCATTATAAGATGTATGCTCGTCCTGTTTAGTATCAAAATTCCTTTCCTGAAGCAAAGTCCTGTAATAGAGTAGTTATGAACCCTGTAGGGTGGGGATATAGGTAAGAACACAGGAATGCACACAATTGCAAAGAGAGAGTAGAAAGCATATGAAAATATATGTTGTCTACCTAAGGATTGCAGAGTATACATCACAGCGAATACCTCCAGTGCAATACATTAATACATCTGTTTTCTCTTTGTCTATGGCAGCTAAAGGATCTGATTCACTGACCTGATACACAACCGTCAACAAAACAGAAGATTTTCGTGTTAGAAATATGCAAAAAGAAACAAAATGCAACTGCAAAAGAAAAATAAAACTTTATCCAATAAAAGGCAAACAGTGGTCAACAAATTTAACAAATACAGAAACAGGAAAAAAAAAGAAAAAAGAAATATAGGAATCAGCTAAGGAACTTCCGAAGGGAAGAAGATAAACATAACCATGGCATGTTTTGCAGTAACTAGTGTACCATTCCTGAAAATACGGGGGACACAAGGCATTTGTCACTAGCCCTCAACAATCCAGGAAGAATGGAGAGAGAGGAAAAGGCAGCCAAGGGAAGTAATTGTATTCTGTTACATTGTCATTGATTAACCTAGAAGAATACTACCCACTTAGTTTACCAGTCCATGGACGAAAATACTAAATATAATATACGAGACATTTTTATGAAATCTGGTATTTGATCAGTTAAAAGTTGAGACCTCTTATTAACAAAAAGGTAAACACTGCAAGAGATATTACACGAAAACCTGGGTAGAAAACTAATCTAGATCCAATAAAAGGTAATGTAATGTTACACCATTGAGTCAGACAATCCAAAAGAAGTGCTTCTAAAGCAATCCACATCCGGCCGTGGAGCCCCTTGAAAATGGCCAACGTCCCATTCATAACCTGATTACAAGTATATCGCAAACAAAAGTGAGCAGGAGACGCAAATCAAAGTAATGCTAATAAGAAGAGCTAGATCAGATACGGATGCAACTGTTGCAGACATGAGAAGGAAACTGACAACCATAACTAAATAGAAGTGCATTTCGAGGAGAAGGTAAAGTATAATCCTTATTTGGTTGCAGAAGATAACTGGAAAAAAGATTTATTTACATCGAGCTACAAGTCTGTACGAGTTCCATATCACGCTGTTTAACAACTTCTCATTCTCAAGATTCAAGATCAGAGCTTAGTGGAAAGAGAGAAACTACATCAACATGAGCTTACATTCCCAGAAAGCATCTTTTATTCCAGAAAAAGCACAATGCTTGCTGCGATCATTCTAGTCTGAAAATCCCTAATGAAGCTGTCCACTCTCTGCTAGTGTTTGATGACTGTGTTGTCTATCTATGCAGGTCAATTTCCTTCAAAGAGATATCCCCATACCAGCCTAGTCAACAATTTGGTCATGATCTTCAACGATCATTTAGCCCCCTCATGTTATGGGTTATCTCCCCGCATATAGTCTTTTTCATTAAAAATTAAAATTGTTGCTCTTAATAAGTTTCAGAAAATGTAGAAGTCGACTTCTTGAGAGTCAATTTCAGTTATCTGAGACCAATGTTTATTTATTCTAACCTTCACCAAAACTGATCTCAGCACCTCTTCAAGAAAACTCAGCCTTCAACTCCTTTACTTTGTCACCAAACTTCAATCTTCTCCCCCTTCCTTCCTTTCTCCTTCTCTTCCTGCTTTCTTCATCAGTTCTGTGTTTGCCTATGAGTACCCTTTTTCAATCGATTTGTGTTCTTATTTTTCTGGCTAATTTGGCCGCTCTACTGGCCTTCAAGTGAAAATTTTCAAGGTGATTTTTCCTCAAATTTGAAATTGATTTCTCTTTGTGGAAGGGGTACCAATACCAACAATTATAAAGCTGATTTTGTACCAATTGACGAAGTAATTCCAAGAGCTGTAATTCCAAGAGCTCAGGGCCAACTTATCATCCTAAACTTGTGACCATACCAGATAGGTGACACGTTAAATAGAGTGGTGGAAATACAAGAAACAGTCCATTCTACTTGAATACAATACACATTAGGTCATTTCCACAAAAAAGTAAACTTCTGATGGCAATACATACCATTTCTCACATCAAGCAGAATACAGTTGCCATTGAGATCTCCATTGGAACAATCATTAACCTTATTTAATGCCTCTAATCTATTTCGCCACTGGGATGGTGTGAGGGGTATAGCTCGAATTGAGGGCTCAAGCAAAGGAAGATGTGAAATTCCTCCTTCCAACTGTAGATAAAACTTCACAAATGAGTAATATGCATTCAGATTTATAAGGCAGGAAACATGACAAGCACGGACCACATTCATTGTAGAAACTGCAAATTAATATAACAACCTCATAGACACGAATAAACCATGTTTCACTTAACAATATAACTGGGACTAACTTTTTCAAGACAGAACTTCAAGTAAGAATATTTTGAAAGGGAACTGGGTTTGACAGTCCACCCTAATGACCTTTGTGATTTCTATACTTGAAATCCCTTTTAATCATGGTGGAAAAAGTTGCTTCAGGAACTTCATTTTTAGGCTTTAGAAACTAGATCTTTTATCGATACAGGAAGTGAAGAAAAGACTGTGGTTGAAGTGTGACTAATAGACAGCTGTAAAGAGAGTAACTAGAAACAAGTGCATATAAAATTAAAAAAAAACAGTGGAATTATGTAACACATTTCTGAAATCACCTGTAATTGGTGTCACGGATATACTCGAGCAATTTAAAATTTTTTGAGGGCAGACAATCTTGGAACACGATATGAAAAGCTAAAGCCTAATGTAACTGAAGGGGACAAAATTGCTAAATAAATATTTCAAATAACCTCCTATCCAAACAAACCCACTATGATTTGTAACTTTAATGTCTACAAAATCAAGCATCTGAAAAAATATTCAACTCTGCCAGAGTGTATTGCAACACAAGATTCCACAATGATCATGATTTAAGGAAGTGATTAGTGAACAAGATTGGAACTCGTCCCTTGAAAACAATTGGGAGCTTCATGGGAAAAACACATGAAACCAATGTAGCTGTCAGCAAGGCTGTCAACAGCTAAAAAGTAGCCAACACCTCGTGTATGAGCATAAAGACAACACCTATTAACAACATGTGACATGAAAAAGCGTTATTTCTATTTCATGTTCTTTTATCGTGGGAAAGGAATGAATGGTTAACTATTTCAACCTACTAATCAATCCGGCACTATCCTGGACACAAGAATAAAAGATGCCAAACTTTAAGAAAAGTCAATTCTTCTGACCAATGGAATCAGTCAAATTTTAAGAAACTCATAAGCAGAATTCTATCAGCTCATATGGCTAAACAGTCACAGTCCAATTCAAGAATTTACTATTTCAAGGTCTACTTTCACTAAAAGGATTTGTTTTTCTAGTGAAAAGCACTAGTCGAATGAAAGCAAAAAAGATAGCATCCCAAAAAAGAAGTTTAATGCACTGAATTGCAATTGTAGTTTATCATTACGAGAAAAACAGAATGCAAAAAAGAATATAACACAAAAGATAAAAGGGAAAAACTTCAAAGATATTAGAAGAACAGAAAAACAAGGTGAATAGGGCGGAAACATCAAAATCTAACTTGCCTGAACAAGTGAAGGCTTATAACGAAGCCTTAATCTGGGAAAGGCATGGCCATTTGAAACTGGTGAGATCTGAACTAGTACACCTGCAAATCTATGGTCCTCTTTTACCCATTTAGCATATGCAAGAGCATCTTTGGCTGGTCCACTGTACTGCATAATTGGAGTCTCAGGGCAGAATATAGGAGAAAGAATGAAAGACTGGGGCCCCCCGTGGGATTAAGTGAAGTCCAAGAGGCTCGCTAAGAATGAAATGCCAAGATAATAAAGCATACCTGCGCATTAATTCCTTGTTCGTTCAGGTATATTCGTCCGTGTATATTACGACCCTGAATCGATTAATGATGTGCAAAGACCAATAGTTACTTAATTGACTAAGATATTCATACTTGATTATAATCAAGAGAACAGAAGATAAAATTGATAAAATTACATTCCACGCTTGATGAAGATACATTGCCCTCTAGTTCTTACTGATTTGAAATACAATGACACCACTTGCCTAGATTCCAGTTTTTGCTTAAATAAAAATGGAATGAGACATTTCAAGGGCTTTTATGATCCTTGCTCTCTCCAATAGTAGCTCAATGTATAACTTTCAATCAATACCTCCCAGAACAAGGAGCAATCAAAACAGCTATGCTACTTGTGAGTGAAAACACACCACATACTTCAGAGGCTACATTAACAAAAAACCAACACCTAAATCTCAAGTTTGCAGAAAAGAACCTAAATATCACAAACTAAATTCATATTAGTTCCACAGAGCCACAAGCATTCACATAATTAGACATTCATGTCTCCATTAACCATTCTAATCACCAACTTCAGAAAATCAATTTACTTCCAATTTAAGAAAAAGATAAGTGGCAAGCAAAAACCTGCATGAAGGATAGGTGCTTTGACACTTCCTCTTGAGGGTCTTCAATAAACACAAAATGATAAAAATTCACCACTACAAACTCATCTTCTTCCCTAAAGTTCTCATCTTTTTCGGGCTGAACCCTTACCCAATTATTGCCTTGTGAATTAGAAGACAATGCACAAATCTCAAAACTTCTTTTACATTCCCAAGAAAAGGGTCGATTTCTTTTGCATCCTAACTCAAATTTGCACCCACATAAAGGCAAAAAAGGAAATGCCCTGATCCTACTTTTCAAAGATGAAGTTGCAGCTGCTGAAATCTTGGAAGTATGAAAAAAATATCTAGGCTTTTGAGAAGTCGAGGAGATAACTATACCAGACATAGCAGAAGCCTAGAAAAAATGCTGCAGGGACCTAGGCATAAAGATAAGTGTTTGCGTTGCTTTGCTCTCTTCAGCCCTTCTGCAGCTCAACGTTTTCCTTTTTTGGTTTTTCTTTTTTCATTTTTTCCCTGGTGGGGGAAGGGCCGGAAGGCCTAGCGGTTTGTCTTGCTCCTTTTTTTTTTTTTTTTGGGGTAACTAAATTTGGTCCTCCATCAACGAGGAGAGAAATACGTCCAATAGGGTATAAACGAGTTTAACTAATTTCAAACTCTAAACCACTATTTAATTTAACTATGTTTGTTTATTTTGACAAGTTGAGAATCATGGTCAAATTTTTACTTGTTTATTTATGGAGTTGAAGTGGAGCTCTTAGGTAATTTGAACTTTTTATATATAAATTTTAAATAGTATATTAATTCAACCAAATTCCAATCAAACTTAAAATTCGATGTAGATACAAAATACAAATTTTTTCAAATATTATTTTATTTACATCATAGTTATATTTTTTATTTTTTTCTCACATATATTACATTATGAATATAATTATGGAAAGAATTATTCTAAATAATAGCAAATGAGTTTTTTGGATGTTTATTTAAAACTTTACTATAATTTATTGTAAAAATTGTAGAAATTTTTTTTAAAATTTAAAACTTTTTTCCTTTTCTATTTTTTTCTTTTTCCTTTTCTTTCCTCTCCTCTTCTTTTCCCTCACATCACCACTCGCCCCCCGCAAGAAATCGGTGATGGCAACCATTGCAATTTTTTTAATTATTTTTTGCTTTCTTCTCTCTTTCTTTCTCTTCTCCCTCTTCCCCCTCCCTCCCCCGCTACCCTCCCTCTCTCCTGGTCATGCAACTAGATTGCGGCTGGCGATCTAGTCACGCGATCGGAGGAGGAGGAGAGAGAGGAGGGGAGAGGAAAGGAGAAGGGGAAAATAAAAGTTTCTCTTTACCGATGCCCGTGTTGGCGCTGGCGTCGGAAGAGGTGGTGGCGGCAGGGATGGTGGTAGGGGGAGGAAAAACAAGAAAAGAAAGAGGAGAAATTTTTTTTGTGTGTTTTTGGATATTTTGAAATGTGTAATTTAAAAATTTTGAATTTTTTTTGAAGTTACTGTTTTTAAAATTATTAAAAAACTTATAAAAGAAAAATTAGGCAACAAAACCCACTTGCCATACAGGGCCGCTAATTGGTAAGATGACAAGAGTTGTGGAAAGTTGAAAAGCAACTTAGCAGTGTCCATGATTTGGAGTTACAGCCCTACACAACTAATCCCTTATTTGAGCTTCCCAATTTGTTTTCTCTATCAGTCTTTTTCTCTTTTGGGAATTCGGTTATAGGAATAAATATACCCAATAATTTTTTTGTCTTTGATGCGATGGCCAAGAACGCTATCCGAGCTGAGCTGCTACGAACCGAGCTGGCTGAGTGCAGCCGAACTGAGAGGGGAAAATCGTGCAGGCTATCCTACCAAAAAAGAACTACGGCAGGGCTAGAGTTTCCTGAATAGCTTCGACAGTCAAGTCAGTAAAGTTTATGAGTAGAGTAACAGTAGAGAGTACTGTAGATGGCGTATCTTGTATTGTCGTGTGGTGCCATATTTATAGGCTTGAGGGTAGTGGTTTCCATATATGAGTATGAGTCCCCTAGAGTTCGGAGTCTCTCTAGGGTTTTGTATGATAACCCCGAAAGGTTCGAAGGCTACGGCCCACGAGGCCTATCATAAGGAGAGGTGGCGGCTCCAGCCGAGCTATCCTTCTCTTTTTCCGAGCTGACGTATCCAAGCTGCCGGATCTCAATGGCCGAGCACATGCATGGCTGAGGCCGAGCTGACACGTGTTGCCCGTGTATTGGCTCCACTACACTAGCCTCCCTTTGAGTCTAGGGTCACCGAAAGGTGGCGTGAGTCTGGACTAAATTTCGAGGCGACGGGTCGATTTGGCGTGGGGCCCACAATCCCATGGTCGCATCTCTTGTTCTGGTAACTGCCACGTCTGCTGTCGTAACCGGCGCTTTAAGGGTCACATCCTCTCATAATGGTGGTTGTCAGCTCAACCGTCTCCCCAGGTGACAGTTTTTTCGCAATAAATTTAAAATTTCAATTCGGGACTCCTCGTCTTCCTGCCCAAATGGCCTATAAATAGACCCCACTAAACGTCACTTTCAAGCTTCCTTCCTCATTTTCTTTCCTTCCAAATCTCCATCAGCTCGCACCACGCTTAGTGAGTTCGTCCGAGAGTAGCATCCCCTTCTAAGCACCTACCAGCTCTTCTCTCTTCTGCTAGTAAGTTCTCTTTCCCTTTTATGTCTTTTTCTTCCACACACTCAGATATCACTAGTTCAGCACCGAAGTGTAAAATAGTCCGACCTGCCCCCATAGAAATAATCTCTTCTTCTAGCTCCTCCTCATCTAGTTCATCGGGGTCTGAGTACCTTCCTTTCTCCACACATTCTCCAGCCCACCACATGGACCAGTTTGGCCCTCCTGCCTAGCACGATGCTGGAGCTGCTGCCCCAAAAATTCTACAGGAAGCAGCCCCATCTCGCGCTAGGGTAGGGCCCTCTAGGGGGTCTGACATTGAATTCGGGGAAGTCGAGATCATCCCCCCTCCTGAACCAAGAGGACGTAGACGAGTTGGTGGGAAAGTATGACATTCCTCCCCAGTTCGAGGCTAGGGTTGCCCGGCCAGGGGAGTACGCGTGTCGACCTCCTCCTGAGTTTGTGGTCATCTATAGAGATCAACTCGTAGTTGGCCTCCGTCTTCCAATTCCTCACTTCCTCTACCAAATCCCGATCTTCTGGGGAATTCGAATAACCCAGCTCGTCCCTAACGTTGTTAGGTCGATCCTAAGCTTTTTCATCTTGTGTCGCATTCTCGAGATCTCCTACTCCCTGGACCTGTTCAGGTTATTCTTTCAGATGAAAGTCAGCAGACCGGTTCACGGTTGGTTCTACTTAGCTCGTAGGAGTGAGGGAGAGCTCCCGACCCGTGAGCTGTTCTCGCAAGCCCCTTCCTCCATTAAGGGCTGGAAGGCTCAATTCTTCTACGTGAAGAGCACAGGCTTTCCCCCGTCTTCTTTCTTTTTTACGGGTTCAACTGTGTTGTTTGCGCTGACTCCTCTTTTTTGTCTTATAGTGAAGAGATTTTTTCAACTACTGAACATAGGGGGAACAGGCAGCTCCAGCATGCCTGCCACCGTGCCACCCGCTGCGCCAGGCAGCTCGATCCCTGTCGCTCCCCCTCCTGTTCCAGCCCCCCAGGCCCTTGCTCAGTCCTCTCCTACGGAGGGGGTCAAGAAGAAGAGGAAGAAATCAACGGCCAAGAGGGCCCGAACCGAGATCACCTCTCCTGCCGCCCAGGTGCCGCAACCAGCTCCTACCGATGCCCCTTTGGAGCACTACGGGGTGAACTCCGCCGAGCAGCAGGCCTCGTCAGAGTCGCCACCAGCTATGTGGCGTCGGAGGAACGTGATCCCCCTGAAGTCTTCCTCCGAGCTGAGCGCACACCCGCACCCCCTGCACTTCTGCCTAAAGTGGGGATTGTCGGTGAACGACCGGGTTCAATTTCCAGAAGCAAGTCGGGAGCTCCTCAGGGGTACAGTGCTCCCGCGCGACCATCACTTCATTCAACTCACGTCCAACTCCGAGCTGCTGGAGCACTACTACCCCAGCGTGGCTCAGGTAACTCCTTAACTGGTGGCGCTTTATTGGAATTTCCTTGGCTTGCTGGTTCTCATTTTGAGTTTAACTTGCAACTTAACATGGCTTGTGCTGAGCTGTTGCAAAGGTATGAAAACATGGGGGAGAATCTCTCCCAGGTTAATGCAGCCAAAAACAGGCTATCGAGCCAGCTCGAGGCCGCTGAAGCCGAGCTGAAGTCCGTGAAGAAACAGCTCACCGAGTCCCAGGCCACTTGCGAGTAGGAGAAGAAGAAAGCAGCTGAGCTGACCTCGCAGCTGGAAACTGAGCAGAAAAAATCCGCAGAGCTGCCCGGTCAGATTGAAGCTGTTTGTGAAGAGGGTCGTCAGCTCGACATCAGGACTTCAAGAAGTCTGAGGGCTTCCTGAAGGATCTGGCCCTCCTCAACGGGCCAATCCTGCAGGTGGAGTATACTCAGGCTATGCACGACGTGCAGTCTCTGAACCTGCCTGGGTTCGACCTGGGCAAATGGTCTGAGTATAACCCACAAGCAGTCCACCAAATTGGTAGGTTCGTGAAGGGCTACGTGCATGGGCGCAACCTGACCGCGCTGATCGCCGACCCCACTTTGCCTGCGACCTCCCCTGAACCTGAGCAGGAGCAGCATGGGAAAAATTAGGGAGCACTTAGCATAGGTGTAGATAGGGGTTAGAGCAGGGTAGGAACCGAGCTGGCCAGCTCGTTTTTGTATGGCCCCCCTTTTTGTATATTTTTTGAATCGATGACAGGGTGTCGAACCTGTGCAATAATAAATACCTGCTTAAATAAAATATAATTTCTGTAGATAGTGATAAGTAGGGTCGAATCCACAGGGATTGGGAATAATTTATTTCTTTTAGAGTCCGAAGTATGGGGGGTTTTTGAAAATGAGAGTAACTAAATTACTTGGAATAAATTAAAATAAAATAAAACAACTACAACTCAAATAACTAATTATCACAATAAAAATAATAATGGATGAACTTTAACCAAGAGACAATTTCGGAGATGGTTCACTTAATTCAATCACAGATGCAAGGATTATTCCAGTTACTATCTGATAAATTAGTTATAGTTGTCATACACGCGATAAACAACCAACTCTTCCTCAATTTGTCGATAGCCAAGGTACGACTGTTGACTATTTCTCTAATCAGGAAATAACCCTAGGTACGACCATAGAAGTTCAATTTCCTAATTGCATGAATAATTAGAAGAGTCTAATTCTAGCCAATCAACACGTTACGAGGGTCTCTTTAAGTTAGTCTGTCTATCTCCCTGACACAAACCCAATCATGCCAGTTGCCACCAGTTTAGAATAATAAAACAATTACGGATTTAACTACCCTAATTGGCTTCACGTTATTGAATTAATCTAAAATCCGAGCCCTGGATAATCGAATAATAAAACAACCATATGAACATAAAGCAGAAGATAGACGAATACCA